TAAGACTGAGTTCAGTAGTCACTTTCCTGTGGGTCCTGCATGTCCAGATGACACAACAACAGTCAAACAATCTAGGCAAGAGCAGTTTCTTTCCCAAATGGCTAATCTTGCCATGTTGAAAGCAAACTTTATAACGAGTTTCTTCGATGCCCATCTTCCTCTCAGACGTAATTGGTGCTGTCAGGAGCAGACATTTCTCATTGTCAAGACACACCCTAAACCATTTTAAATGCCATGTTCTGAAGGTCTTTGAGAGGTTTGAAGACTGTCCATCTCAAATATATTTCTGTATATCTAGAAAACCTAACTTACCTAACTATAAGTTCTGACTATTATAAGTAACTATAATCTGCATTCAATTATGCATTACGTTGTAAAAGATCAGTATAAGCACAATACTTCATCAAGAGGAGAAATATAAGCATCACAAAATTGACCTTGAATTTGTATCAATAAATTAAAAAATCCCACTCCTGACACCATTTTGTTAAGAGAAGCTTTCCTTGAGTGGAGCCTTCCCACCAGCCTGGTTCCAGAACCGCATCAGTCCCAAATAAACACACAGGAGGCTATATTCATTATGAAGCTGTTGGCCTTGTTTGTCCCTTACTGGCTAGCTCTGCATTAAGTAATTACCCCATAATTGTTAATCTAAGTATGTCTCTTACCGGAGAGGTTTCCATGCTTCCTACCCCAATGGCGGTTACATCTCAAACTCTCTTGTGTGTCTCCTTCCCAGAATCCTCCTGGACTCCTAGTCCCTCCTATCTAGGTTTTCTATAGGCTCAACAGTACTTTATTGACATATACACAGGACTTCCCCCAACACATACTGAGGGCAGGATAGCCAGCATGGGACTGACCCACCCACCATAAATGTGGGTGTGAGGAGGCCTAGGTAATCTGTGGGGCATACAAATGGACTTTGGGTTCACATTCCACAATGAGGGATGCTCTGTCAACCTGGACTCTTGGGGGAGGGCCTTGGCCCCTGCCCTAAATGAAATTATAGACTCTAGAGACCCTCCAAGGAGGCCATAACCCTCCCTGGGGATCAGAGTATGGATTGGGTGGGGGCTGAGTGGCTGAGCAGACATTTCTCACTGTCAAGAAAAACCCTAACCCATTTTAAATGTCATTTCCTGAAGGTCCTTGAAAGGTTTGAAGACTGCCTATCTATCTCAAATGTATTTCTGTATATCTAGAAAACCTAACTTACCTAAATATAAGTTCTGACTATTATAAGTAACTATCTATAATCTGTATTTAATTATTCACATTGTTTTAAAACATCAGTATAAGCACAATACTTAATCAAGAGGAAAAATGTACATACCACAAAACTGACCTTGAATTTGTCAATAAATGAAAAACCATACCCATACCATAATTCCCCTTTTTACCATTAAAAAGCGATTGGTGGTGATCATTAACCAATTATAAACAACCCATTTAAATGAAAACAAAGATTTATAAACAAGATGGGAATTAGGACATCGCTCATTCCAAACTGCTTCATGCTGGAAGGGGGCGCTGTTCATACCATGGGGATCATGACAAAACTCAGAAACCTGTATAAGTCCTTAGGTTCAGAGTTTGTAAGGCTCCATCATCTTAGCTGTTTAGATGTTGAATCACTTGGGCCACTGTTTCCAGGGGGCTTGGTTCATCAAACCACAGAAGACTGGAAGGAATCCTCAGCTTTTCATTTTCTGTAGAAACATAAACAAAATCTCCTTTCCCAAGTAACATATATTATACTTAAATTTTGAAGTAAATGGATTTTCAAAAGATATCAGTTGAATCGTTTCAGCAGCATTTATAATCAAGTGTACTTTAGCAGTTGTTCCTTTCTGAGCAATCAATAACTGAAAAACACATAACATACAGTATCCAGAATCTCTATGTATTTTCCATCGTTATACGGCTTATTTATTTATCTATTATTATTCTATTTCTTTTACTTTGATTTATTTTTCTCTGAGACAGTGTTTCTCTCTGGATATCCGCCTGACTCTACCTCTGCAGCAAATCCTAACAGCTTGTGCCACCACCGCCGTCTTCTCTATGTATTTACCACTGTGCAGTTTCTTTTTCTCTCTCAATCTTACATATATTATTAAACACACTGTAAATCTTTAGAGGTTTTTCTTCATCCAAGTCTGACTTTACTGTAGACCTTTATGTTTTTCTGGCCACGTGTCTTATCTGTTAAAACCGCGGCTGTTTTAAACTGCAGTTTTTCAAAGATGGAGGGTGTAAGCGTGATTCCAGCTCCCTGTCTCAGTCCATGCTGAGATCCAGCAAAACCTGCCGGCATAGAGATGTGGACACTGCCACTTCCAGCTGTATGTACACACCTTTAAATTGCTAGTAGAGCCTTTTAAAAGAACCTTGTTTTTAATGCTGAATCAGGAAGACTCCCTTAAGCAAGCCGCGTGAGTCTTTGCTTGTCGATAGCAAAATAGAGCACACTTGGGAAAAATGCTGCTTCCGAGAACCCATGCTATTAACCGTACTTTTATTTCTAAAATTCCCTTAAATCTTTTGTTGTTCTACTGGGAAATTCATTATCCTACTCCTGATCACCATTAGCAGATGATGGAATTTAAAATGATTTAATAGCACTATTTTGTCAGGAAAATGAGACATGTCTGCTCCTGGCAGGACCAATCTTCTTCAAAGATCATGGTCATTGAAGAAACTCCACATTGAGTTTACTTTCTTTGTGGCAAATGGTAGCCACTGGGCAAGATATTGCTCTCGTCTTGACTGCTGACACTATGCAGCCAAATTGGACAAGCAGCACACAAAAGAGCGTGACTTACAAACTTTGCCAAGAAAAGAGAGGAAAGCCCGTGAGAATATCCTAATTAACAGACGTCTGTCAGATATGCCAGGACGGCAGTCAAGAAGAAAGATGCCCCAACACTACGGAGGAACCTTGCAAGGCTGTCCAGGTAGCCAGGTTTGTCTGTCATTTGTCACATTTTTTTGGAAGTCCCTTGCTTGCACACTCTGCTTAGTCAGATAATATTTTTTCTTTCTTGGGACTCTGATAGAATTGAAGACTTTATTCTTATAGTTTTCCTAGTAGTAGATTCAGTAAAGACATTCACTAAGTTAATGGCATAGGGGAGAGCTCAGGTACCCAAGATACGGACCATGCTACAAAGGGGTGTGGCCTGTATCTAAATGGGCTCTCTCCTACAATATGTAAAGTGTATGAGGTTGAGAGACATACAAAGATACTTTTGGTAAATCAAGATGCAATAGAAGGTGAATTACGTACAACCTTTTGGAACCACCAAGATAGGATAGATAACAGAATATTATATCTGAATTTGTCAAATATTTGCAAACTACACATTGTTGTTGAATGTACTTCCTCGATACATTGGATATATTTATTGCACTTGTTCTATATAGCTTTTCTTATATTAGATATAAGCTTTTCTATTTTAGAACAAAAATAGGAAAATGCAAAATTTTCTTTGTGCTCTAAGAAATCAAGCTTGCCTCAGATCAGGCGATGGAGCTAGAGACATTTTAAGAATAGAAGCCAGGCCTTGGTGACACACACCTTTAACACCAGCACTGGAGAGGAGAAAGCAGGAAGATCAGGAGTTCAAGGCCATTCTGGGCTACATGATATTGAACCACTGGGAAAGAGAATCAGAGCTGGTTGGTGGTGGCTCACTCTCCTTATCCAAGCATGGGATCTCAAGCCTTTGAACCCAGGATTTGGGAGTCACACTCATTTTACCATATCACTAGAAAGGTGGAAAAGGGAGTATAAGGTTGGAGGAGTCAGGATCTTGGTCTGTTCACTAGGAGGATCTCTAGTCAGGTATTCCCACCCCTATCTGTCTGAAATTTTGTAGAGTAAGAATCTGTCTAGTGGCTGGATCCTTTAAAACTCTTTTCTTTCGCCATTGGACTATTACCTGATTCTGGGACTTTACTATTAAAACCAATTAGGATACATGCTAAGGAGCACATTTGAAGTCTACACAGAGAGAGAGAGAGAGAGAGAGAGAGAGAGAGAGAGAGAGAGAGAGAGAGAGACCCATACAAATGTAATGACAAAGGAAATCTTGTCTCCAGAATCCTGAGACTGCTATCCAGACCCATCTATGACAAGGACACAGAGGCCCAGAAGAGCCCTGTGACATAAGTACTGCACACAACTGGCCCATGTTCCCAGCAGGGGGCAGAAAGGACAGATTTTGCTGTGCAGAGGATGTGGCAACCTCAGCACACACAGCCTCTCTGTCCAGTCACTGCTCCTTGCTCCTGGGGAGGTCAATCAGGGAGATCATGTAAGTGCCCTATGGACTCTGGCCCACAGACACTCTGGCTGTGGTGACTGTGGTCTCTTGGCATTCCCTAATACATGCTGCCGGGACACTTTGGCAGCGCTGCAATTGAGCAGTGATAGTTCAATGTCCATGGTTGTCCCCACATTCTCTTTCCAAACAATGCCCCATCTCAAATCCACACAGTCCAGGCTCCCCTTGGATTGAAGGTTTTTATTGTTGGAATCCAGACTTTGACACCTGGAGGGCAGGGGTAGTGCTTCCTGCATCTATGCAGGTGAGCGGTTAAGTAGTTTCCTTGACTCCTCAGGCAAAGATGGATTCATCAACAGTAATTGTCAGCATCTATTTTTGACTGGAAAGAGAAAGTCAGTGAGGCATGAGAGCTGAAGGGGACGTCACTGATCATACATGGGATACCAGTTGGGAGGTAGCTGTACCCCTCTGCCATAGATCCTTGTTCTGACCAGGTCCAGGGAGCAAACTTTCCTCCCTGTTTCCCTCAAATCACATCAGGGCGAACCTTGTAAACAGCCTCCAATCCAGGCTGATGGAAAGAGCCACCTGCCTTCAGGACACCATGGGCACATGACAGACAGAATCCAGAAGCAGCTGGGTAGACCTGGAATGGCTCCAGGTGAGCCTCAGGCACCTATTGTCCCACAAGTGACCTGATTACTGTCACATGAAGACCCTCAGATACATGATGCTAACCTGGTGATTGATGCTACTACTTCTAGTGAAAAGAGGGGATTCAATTACATGCTCCACCCTGGAACCTCCATAGTGGCCTTGGAAATCCTGTGGACAAGAACAAAATTGAGTGTTTTGAGGGTGCAGTGGTAGACTTGACCACTTAGGATAAAAGACCCATGCTGGGGAACTGTGCCAGGCTCTGTGTTCATTGGCTGAACTCTGAAGGCTTGGTCAGAAAGGCTGATGGAGGCCAAGTGGTATTGTGGGGGCAGGGATCCTGCAGGGTCCAGTCTGGCTTGGCTGAGATGAACAGCCAGTCCTAGCTCAGGCCTCCTGAGTGTCCCTTCTTGACCCATTCTCCTGGTACCATAACCAGGGAGAGGATTCTGTGTAGATGCACAGAGGCATTGCAGTGATGGGGAGGAAAATAGGTTCCATCGCCACCCTGGGGTGAGCAGGGCAGCAGACAGACTCCTGGGCAGACCCAAGAGAACTCACCAGCAAACTGCGTACACTCTCCTTGTCTTCCTTTGTCAACTTGTTATCAGTACATTTCTTCATACTTTCAGTATTTTCCAGCGTGTCGTTGTCATCCTTGTATTTCTTCACAAAGTTGACATAGGCATCCACAGATGGGCCAAGAAAAAGCTCAAGATCCACTTTTATAGCCGGACAAATGCCACAGTCTGGAACACAAAGAACAGGTGATTTTCCCTTTAACCTTAGCATCAGGGCACATGAGTTCTTCCTGGGATGTGAAGCTGTGAGAGCCCTGGAAACCACGGAATCCCCAACACCCACAGCCTAGTACCCACCTCCTCCTGAGTTCAGGAGCAGGGCAGCCCCAAGCAACATGAGAGCACCAGCGAGCTTCATGGTAATGGTGGCAGGTGCTCCTCCCCAGCACTGGCCCCTTCTATAACTGCCCTGGGCTGCTCAGTGGGCAGGGAGAGGCTGTGTCTGAACCCTTCCAGGCTCCTGCCAAAATACTGAGTGATACTCCCTGGTGTGGTGTCAGGGTAGCTGTGTATTTTGGCAAGAGGAGAAGATCCCGGTCAACAAAGTCCCTGGCTCAGCCTGGTCCCCTTCTTAGGGCTCTGGATAAGGTCACATGTCATATCATCCAGGAGATGATGACTTGCCAGCCAGGCAAAAGTTCCCTCAACCAGACCTCCAGAGTGAGGCCTTGGTCACCCTGATTGGCAGGGAACACAATGCTTACTGAAAAGTCTCCCTTGTAGTCAATGTCTAGGATAGACAACATCATATTCACTGGGGTCCCCTGCTCTGACTGTTTCTATCCCTGCACCCATCTCTCACTTGCCTCATGGCTTCCATGAACCCCTTTGTAGCCCTGAAGTCTTCCTGCTGTTGTAGTCACACTTCAACTCGTCCTTTTCCTTGTTGCTGTTGTCTCCTTTTGAGATATCCCATCCAGACATTGCCCTGCCTCTGCTGCTGCATCTCTGTGTAGACCAGGCTGACCTTCAACTACAGAGGTCCATGAGACTCTGCCCCTGACTGATGGGATTAAATGTGTTCTCAGTCCAGCTTAACGTGACCCCCTTTTGATATTTCTGAGTTTTTTAAAGACAGGATCTTGCCTAGGTTAGTTTATAAACATTCTAAGAAGGGAGTGGTGTGTGTGTGTGTGTGTGTGTATGTGTGTGTACAATGTGTGGGCTTGTTGTGTATTAGTGCTATGTGTTTGTAGTATGTAATTAGTATGTGTATGTATCCTTTGTGTGTATGGTGTGTTTGTTTCTGTTATGTGTACGTTTGGTGTGTATGTGGGGTGCCTGTGGATTTTTTTGGTGGTGGTGTGTGGGTAGGAGGTTATAGTATGTATGTTTGTAGTGCATGTGTGTTCTCTGTGAGATATATACATATATATGTCTGTGTGTGTAACCCACGTTTTTTGTGTTTATATAGCATATGAGTGTGCTTGTGTTGTGTGTGGACTGTGTGGAGTATGTGTGTGGCATGTGGTGGTATGTGTACGTATGTGTGTAGTGTGTGTAATATGTATTTGTTTGTATTGTGTGTGTGTGTGTGTGGTGCATGCTTAGTATTTGGATGTGTGGCATACTTTTGTGTATGATGTGTTTGTTTGTACAGTATTATTGTGCTGTGTGGTGTCAGTGTGTGTGTGTAGTACTTGTGTTGTTTGAGTGGTGTGTTTGTGGTCCCTGTGCACGCTATGTGTGGTAATTTAATGTTTGTATGTGCATGGTTTTTGTACGTGGTGAGTGATATGTATGTGTCTGTAGTATATGTATGTAACTGTGACATGTGAATTGTGATGTGTGTGTCATGTTGTTTATACATGTTTGCTGTATGTGTGACATGTGTTTGTGTGGTATGTGTATGAGTGGTATGTGTGTAGCATATAGTATGTGACATGTACATTTTTGTGGGTGTGTTGTGTGTGTGTCAGCATGTGTATGGTGTGAGCATTGTTACAATACATTAAGAGATGCCTGACGTGGTGTCAAATGCTTTCAATTTGAACACTCTGAAGACAGAGGCAGGAGGATCACTATGAGCTTGAGGTCAGCCTGTTCCACATAGAGTTACAGGTCAGTTAGAATCACACGGAGAGACCCTGATAATATCACTATGAGTGTGTTCTTTAAGGTAATACTGCAAGTGCCTCAGGCTTATATTGTCATAACTAAGAAAATGTATTTCAGTATGGAGCATCAGACATAATAATTGGCCTCTGCCCAACTCTACGTTGCTGCTCCACCTGCCTTGTCCCTCAGGAAGCCAGCATGACTGGCTTGGGGACTCCACTGGCCATTTTGAAGACTTCACAGGTACCTCACCAAAACTACAGGACAATCTGAGCTGGCTTCTGAAGGAACAGCCTCATTAAGGCTGTTTCAGAGTGTCTAGCAGAGTTTTGCTATCAGACAATTCTACTTGACCATTCAACCATTTTTACCCTGGCCAGAGGGGAAACAGTCCCCCCCTTCTCCCCATGGCCTAGCAGACGGGGTGCTGGGAGGTGGCTGTATAGGCTGCAGTGCCCCTGCTATGGAAGTGGGCTGTCAGGTCATTCACTGGTCTGGAAAAGATTCCCACTCTCTCTCCTGGGACTGACATGTTAAGCCTCATGAAGCTGTGCTTCTGTCCACTGCCATGACACATGGAGGGCAATTGGAGCAGCCCAAGCTAGCAGCAGGAGACCTTCCCCTCCCCCACACACAGTTTCTATCTTCTGATCAAAGGGATCCCAGACAGCTGTCTTGGGACTCACCTGCCTCAGGCTCCCACAGTGGACTCTGCAGCTCTCCTGACCACTCTGTGTCCCCTGAAACTAGAACTTATCATCTACCTGGTCTATCTGTCACTGGGGCATCTCTGTATGGGGTAGGACACCATTTCCCATGAGCATGGCCACTTTGAGAACCAGGGTCTCCCAATGCTCTGCTCTAACTGGCTGGTGTGCACCCTGTCACCCGGCTGTGAGATCTGATGCTCAGATTCATCAAGCACCATATCAGAGGGACAGACATCTGTGGTTTCAACTCGGCTAGGACACTTTGGGCCTTGGTCCCCAGGGCGGCAGTGCTGACAGGCAGTTGTGGCGGTGCCTGTAAACCAGATGGAGCCCCTGCTCTAGGACTGACTTTCACCACCTCCCCTCACCTCCCCACAACGCATCATGAGTTCACACAGTGCAAGCAGTGCCTAGATGTGGCTGCTCTATCTGGGACTGTCAAGACTCCTGCCATGAACCAAGTTAACTTCTCTCCCACATACAGCACCAAATCTGGGAGGTTTGGTCACAGCAATGGAACACAGATTACAACACCACAGTGCACGGGTCCCTGTGCATGAGAACACGCCTGGCCTCCACCACAGCACTGGGCTCTGAACTCAGTCCCTGCTTCCCCAGCAACTCTTCCTGTGGATGCTTTTGTGTCCCTTAGATATCCAATGACTCAGGAGAACAAGGCATGTGGCGTGCTATCCCTGGGACACCACATAGGAGGTCTCCACAGTGGCCATTAGATATACTGGAGGGCTAGCTTGCATCTCTCAAGTCTCTAAACAAGACCTTTGTGAAACATGAAACAACAGTATCTTCCCGGATGACCCAGGCTACCCTCAAACTTTCAATGCCACTATCCACACCTCCCTGTTCACCTTATATAAGTGCTTTTGTTAGTTGGCTGGTAATAATTTTTAAAAGTAAAGACTCTAAGTGCTTGGTAAGTCAGAACTAATTAGTTTGTTGTTAAAGGCATTGAATGTCGCTTTCTATCCATCAGTGGTGACAGATTAAGTTATTGCCAAAACTTAGAGAGAACATAGTCTTTTGACTTACTGCATGCCTGAGCCAAACAGGATATGAATCCCGTAACCGTTTGGGGCAAGAGGTGCCAAGTACTAATATCTACTCATGAGCTGTCCACTATGTCCTCCAGGCCTTGTTTTGATGACCTTGCAAGTTCCCAAGGCTGTATAGGCCCAGCTAGCCCTTTGTATTCCTTGGAGGTACTAGGAATGGAGAAAAGGGCATACAGTGACTAGGAAGTGTCTACTGGTGGGTGACACCTGCAGCACTCTTCTAGTTCATCAGAGGTGACATTCGACTGTTTGGAGATCTCACAGAGGTTTAGTGCCTAATCCTGCATGTCAGAGGACAGATGACACCTGCCCCTTTCCCCAGTGACTGGAAATTCTCACTTGAACCATTAACATTCTGTGACCAGACATTTCTACTGTTTCTGATTCCCTCATATTTTCCTGTGTGTGTGTTTGTATGTTTGTGTGTGTGTCCCTGTGCATGTGCCCATTCGATATTGTATCTGTGTTTGTTTTTGCAATTGCCCATATGTTGGTTACACAGTGCCTACCTGCTAGTTTCATGTCAACTTGACAAAGGCTAAAGTCATAAGAGAGAGGTAACCTCAACGAAGAGAAACATGGTTTGTATGGGTAGAGGTGGCACACTCCTTTAATCGCAACACTCTGGAATCCCTGGTTGGTGTATCTCCGATTTTGAGGCTAGCCAGATCTACAGAGAGTTCCAAAATATTTAGGGCTACACTGAAAATCCTGTCTGGAAAATCCAAAAGAAACACATTTAATAAAGAGAAAACAAAATAAGAAAATGCCTCCACAAGTTAGGACTGTAGGCAAGTCTGTTAGGCATTTTCTCTCTCTCTCTGGTTTCCCTGAAGACAGAGTTTCCTGTGAAGCACTGACTGTCTTGGAAGTCACTCTGTAGACCCAGCTAACCAAACACTCAGAGATCCACCTGTCTGTGCCTCTCAAATGCTGGGATTAAAGTAATCCAGCAACAGTCATTAGCCAGGCATTTTTATTAGTGATCAATGTGGGATGGCTAAGCCCATTGTGGCTGGTGCCATCTCCTGGCTGGTGGTCCTGGGTTCTATATGGTACCAGTTTGAGAAAGCCCTGGGAAAGAAACCAGTAGCAGCCTGCTCCATGGCCTCTGCATCTGCTCCTGCCTCCAGACTCCTGCTCTGCATGAGTTCCTGTCCTGACTTTCGCTATGAATGCAAAAGCCAAATAAGCATTTCCTTATCAGTTTGCTTTTGGTGAAGGTATTTCTCACAGGAATAGTAATCTTTTTATTCGCTTATTGATTTATTTTGTTTTTTCCAGACAGGATTTCCTTGAATCACAACTGTCCTGGAACTCACTTTGGATACCAGGCTGGTCTGGAACTCACAGAGATCCACCTTCCTCTGCATCCAGAGTACTGGGATTACAGGTGTGGACCACCTCGCCTGTCTGAGCAATAGTAATCTTAACTGAGACACATGGCATACATGTGTGCATACACATGGCAGCCAGAGATGGACAATCAAGTGCTTCAGTTGCTCTCACCATATAAA